ATTTTTTTGGTACCTTTTTAATCACTGTTTTTTAAAAAGTAAAATCCACACAGAAATGTGTTTTATAATGGACTTAAAAGATGTTGAGCCAAAACATAACAATCGATAAAAATTACTATGCATCAGAAAAATGTTGATTTTTTTTCAATTTTATTATTTTGACAAGTGCCTGATTTCACCACAATGCCTCACATATAATTATCTGACGCTCATATGACCTTATGCAGTTGCGAGTGCCGTAAAACCTCTACTAAAACTAAAAACTAAACTAATATTCTGAAAGATGATTGTGCCTTCATATGACTGAGTCTGAGTAAGACCATGAGGTCAGACACCAAATGCTCTATCTGCTCTATCAAAACTGGAAGATTATTCGGAGTCGTTGTCAAGTTATTCAAAGAATTGCATCCGAAAAAGCCTGACTTTGACATGTTGTGAAATTCCAAATCTTTGACATTAAATTTCTCAAAACTTGGTACTGAGCAGATAGAACTTTGTAATTCGTTCTGAGGTAGCGATTGTTGGCGGGTGCTCTGGTGTGGTTTGCTCCTTCTTTCTTACCAAATATCTGTAATTCTGATCTCTTCTCTTTCTTTTTTGTGTATGTTACTCTCTTGTAACACCTCTAATCTTCAGCACTTATTTGACCTTATTATTGTGTTGCAAGTGCTGTAAAACTCTTAAACGCCCCGTGGAGGTGCTACTGACTTAAGTGTCTTTAGGCAATTCCCAAAGGGGGGACATTAACCTGTTGTTATGTACAGTAGAATTGTAAATGGGCTGATTCATCAATGTCATGCTCATAACTGTGTCTGAACTGCAACAGGGAACTGCTGCTTTTTCTTTCCTAATCCTTACTATCATAATTTTTCCTCTACTTTTTTGTATGTTTGTCAAACTCTTGAGACCTGCTATTTCCGGGGTGCCTTGATAGTCGAAACAGACTTGTGCTGTTGAAGCAAGAGAGGTGAGCAGAGTAAGTCTGATTCCCTGTAAAGACTTCCCTAATCTCTGTTGACGTCCACCCCTTGGAGCTCATAAGACCTTATTTATTTTATGCATTTGCAAGTGCCGTAAAAACTCTACTAAAACTAAAACTCTTACTTTAAAAAAAAAAAAAAATTCTAAAGAAGTCATTTGTTGGCTGGTGTGTTTCAGGAAGGTTCGGAGCGCCAGGCACGGCTAGACAGGCTGGTGAGGGAGAAACGTGCCGTGGAGTCGGAGCTACAGCAGGTCAGTGCAGTTGTTGTGTGTCCGCTCATCTGTTTGTCTGTTTGTGTGAGTGTGAGTGTGTATGTGAGTTGAGTTTCTGTATGTGTCATGTATGTGTTTT